TTTTTTTTTTTTTAGAAATGGAACTCAAATGACTAATTCTTTACTCTATGTGGCCATTTTACAATTCCTTTTTAAATTTAAAGAAACATTAATACAAGACAATACAATAATGAAAATATTTGCAGTATTGGAAATAATTTATTTTTCTCATCTCTATTGCTCTTTTCACTCAGAAGCTTTTCTTTTCTTTGGCTATTTACATGCATTTCAGATTATTTTATCCCAGAGAACCTTAACAAAAACTTTTAAACCTCTATTATTAGAATAGTTATAGTTACGACAAAATAATTCTGTTAATATGATAAATACAAAATAGAAGAAAATAATTTTCACTCTTATAACTTTGATGTGAGTTCATTACAATGTAATTTGGAAAGTTAATGTATGAATAAGACAAGGGATAATTACTTCGAATCTTGGTTAACTATCTGAAGGTTCTAATAGGCCCCGGGGAGTTAGGGTGGCCATTTCTTAACAAAGATATCCTTAAAATGCTTTTACTGTAGTTACATAAAACATGTTACATAAATTATCATAAGTATTTGGAGATGTTACGTATTAAGGTCCTTCATGGGGATTCAATAGTAAGATTATTACTAGCATAGTAATAATGCCCATAGAGAAAATTATTATGTTGCATAAGGTTGTATTTTTCTTTCCTTCTGTATAATTTGCCAAATTCTTGTCTTAACAGGCAAAATTGGGTGACCAAGGAAACCTTTCTGAACTGGTTAATCTCATCCTAACAGTGGCTGATGGAGACAAAGATGGCCAGGTTTCCTTAGGAGAAGCAAAGTCAGCATGGGCACTTCTTCAGTTAAATGAATTTCTTCTCATGGTGATACTTCAAGATAAAGAACATACCCCCAAACTAATGGGATTCTGTGGTGACCTTTATGTGATGGAAAGTGTTGAATATACCTCTCTTTATGGAGTAAGCCTTCCATGGGTCATTGAACTTTTTATTCCATCTGGGTTCAGAAGAAGTATGGATCAATTATTCACACCATCATGGCCCAGAAAGGCTAAAATAGCCATAGGACTTCTAGAATTTGTGGAAGATGTTTTCCATGGCCCCTATGGAAATTTCCTCATGTGTGATACTAGTGCCAAAAATCTAGGATATAATGAAAAGTATGATTTGAAAATGGTGGATATGAGAAAAATTGTGCCAGAGACAAACCTGAAAGAACTTATTAAGGATCGTCACTGTGAATCTGATCTGGACTGTGTCTATGGCACGGATTGTAGAACTAGCTGTGATCAGAATACAATGAAATGTACTTCAGAAGTAATACAACCAAACTTGGCAAAAGCCTGTCAGTTACTCAAAGACTACCTATTGCGTGGTGCTCCAAGTGAAATTCGTGAAGAATTAGAAAAACAGCTTTATTCTTGTATCGCTCTCAAAGTCACAGCAAATCAAATGGAAATGGAACATTCTTTGATACTAAATAATCTAAAAACATTATTGTGGAAGAAAATTTCGTACACAAATGACTCTTAGTTCGTTGTAGGGAAACACTGTCTCAAGAACAATTTTGAGCATTTTAAGAATGGCTTCTGATTCAGAGATCCCCTTTCCTGAGCCAGAGAGCCATCATCAAAATATGTGATTACTGCAGTAATGGCAGGAGGCATAGGATTAACATAAAAGATTTCATTCCTGCCCTTTTAGAAGCCCTTTTACATTTCCCCAGTACATTCACTGTATAACTATTTGACTAATGACTTTTAAAAAAATGCTGTGAAAAGCCTCATTCCATAAACATCAACAGTGGGTATTTTGTAGATTTATGTTAGCCAAAATACCATTGCTAAAACATTGTTTGCATTGAAGCTGTTTAAAAAATTTATACGTGAATTTACTAATGTCTTAGCATGGTAAAGTTTGCACACTAACACAAATTAAGATTGCAAAGATATATTAAAATTATTCCTTTAAAAAAATGTTGGGTTAGTAGCATGGTTTGTTGTATTGTAGACTTTTAAACACTCTTTAACCTCAAAGACATCAAATGTGTAGCTGAAGTGGCTTTTAACTTCAGGAAGTATACTATTTGACAACATGCAGGTACTTCCTAAAGATTTTTGATGGGTCCATCTTATTATCAACCAGCCAACTAAGCCCTTTAAAACTGATTTATCTTGGGGTGGGGATGTAGCTGTGTTTGAGCACTTTCCCAGCATTGCACAAGGCCCCAGCTCCAGAAAACAAAAAAGAAATCTCATGGTAAATGTGTGGTGAAAACAGGACCATTATGAGCAAGAGATGATGAAAGACAGTTTTAATAATAGTTTTTCTATTTTCAAATAGCATTTCCTGTGGGCCAAAGGGCTATTTCTTAAAGATGCATGTATATTGATCTACCCAATGTTTTTTTCCCCATGTAAACTTGATACGCAAGGCTTAACATCTGATCCTCTCTTGTATTATTTTCATATGTACATTCAGATCTGGCATGTACCCTTCAACCAACCCAAAATGAAGCACCTCATTTTGGCAAAGAGCCCCAGTGTTTTCTGCTCAAAGGTTTAAGTCGGTTAATGTGTCAAACCTGTGACTTTATTGGCATTCTCAAAATTTAAAACCATGGATTAGCACCAATTTTGTTGGCTTTAAGACTGTATACTTAAAGTATGTTTTCTTCCCACTAATTATCTGGTTATAATAAATGGACAGAAGAAATATTTTTTACTGATTGTTGTTGGTCTGTTGCTTGAGAAGGCGTTATGAACTCTTGTTGGAGTCCACACACAAGATAACTTTTTCCAGAAAAAGCTACAAGTGTTTTTTTCGAGAAACTGTAAAATCCTTTGCTTTTATATTTCAGGTTATTTCCTACAGTTTCATTAACAAGAGCTCAACACAGAAATAACTGCTGGTTCAATAAGTTTATTATCTGTATCTGAAAAAACTTCATAGAAAAACTGTTGTTTGGTTTAGCTCTCAGCAGCCCGTTCCTGAGCTCTGAGGAAGCTTGCCTTCTTTTGAGCTACCCGATCTTTCTTCTGGGCAAGGGACATTTTAGGACGGTTCCACCTGCAAAAAAAGTGAAATAGGAATATAATTTTTTAAAAAACACTTTGTGATCAGATGGAGGCTGAATAATCCAATTTCTAATGCATGTACTTATATATGTTCTTTAGCTAACTTTCCCAAATGACAACTTTTATGATATGATCCTATTATTGTGGTATCAAAAAAAAAATAGTACAATGGCTAGGTGGTCATTAGGGACTATTTCTTATTCTATTTAAATATCAAAAAGGAACTCTTTAGGTAGTCAATAATAAATGCAATAACTGGTATTTACAACTGTACGAAGATAGAATGGGCCACCTCAGTAGCTTCTGAGGCTAATACATTCCTATCACCACAATTACTTTAGCAAACCTGGTTCCCTTAGCTTCTGCCATATCACGCAGAGCTAGTGATCGAGTTTGCACAACTTCACTGAAAACCTGATCCACAAGACAAAATAAGACATACCTCTTCTTTTTAACTTCTCTCTTGGGCTTTTTCTCATAGACTGGATTCTCTCGTATAGCAGAATGAGCTTTCTTATACATTTCCTCCATCTGAAACAAAGGAAAGCAAACAGTACTTGGTTTCATTTCATATGCCCTACTATATTAATGTACAATAGCACTCCACTATTTGCTCTACTTTGTCCTTTTAAGTCAGATTCTAAAAAAAAAAAAAAACTAAGTCAATGTTGATTCCTGCTTCAATTCCTAAATGTAATCGTAACAAATCCTTTATGTTTATCCTAAGCACCATATATGGACATATTCACAGAACACAATCTACATTTATTCCTAAGTAATTCAGCCATACTTTCTGAATCACAGAAGAACAGTTTTTTTCCGGGGGTGGGGTGGGGGAGGTAGCACCCACACTGTACTCCTCATTCAATATGTTTGCCCTAAATTCTTAGACTGGACACCAGGGAATAAAAAACAACTACCAAATTCTTCTGTCACCCCAAATTTCCCAGATTTACAATTTCCATCATTACCTGATAGGTCTTTCAAAGAATTCTCAGACTTATGTACTAGGAATCTCTTGTATGTTTCACTATTACTAATCACTAGTATCTGGTAGTAATATAAGGTCTCTAGAACTTTCAAAGAGGCTTGAAATTCTCTAGAATACACTGAAAACTAATTAGGTTTCTTATTGGATGAAACTAATGAAAATGCTCCAATACTACAACTCTCTGAACATCTAATAACAATTATGGTTCCCT